GCACTCAGAATCTTCCAGTTCAGATTGTACTCAGTACTACACACACACACACACACACACACACACACACACACACACACACACAGACACACACACGTCAAGTGGGTTCCCTGAGCATGGCATTTATGACCACAACTTACCAACCTACCATTCTGGTCTCACCTTTCACCATTCCCTTTTAACACACCCTTTGCTGTATTTACAGGGGATGTCTTATTCAGACCTAAATATATCACACTCCTTCCTTAGCACCTTCACATTTTTTCTATTATTGCTCCCTCCACCTTGAATGTCTCCTATCACAAGTTTCCACTCATCTTTCAAGACACAACTCAAAAGTCACCTCTTCTGTACTGCATTCCTTCTCTGTAGGAGAGGCAGTGTATATAAAACAGGAGGAGATTGTAGTCCTCAGCTGATGCTCATTGGTTTAGCCACCAAGTATGAAAACACCAAAATATTTCTAGCCTAGTTGGTACACAGTTTGCTTCCCTGAAACCCCTCAATTGCCCCCTTTAAGAATATGAATTTCAGCAGGATCCATGGATCAAAGTCTGGCTCAACAGGGGCCTCCAGGACCTCAGTTCTATGACCACAGTTCCATAGTTCCAGAGCTATGGCTAATACCCATGCTGATTATATAGTAGATTTAGTTTTTTAACACCCTGCTAGACATTATTATTGCTTATTATTTTTCATCATGATCACTTTATTAAATACATTCTCTCTCCTTCCGAAATGTCCCCCATTTCATTATGACTTATCTGGGATTACACAATTGTTGTGCAGTTCTTTCTCAGCACTCAGAAGTTTCCCCATCAGTCGTGGCTCAGGATTTCTAGATAAGAGGGACTTAGAGGTGATTGAACTGACAGTGGGTGCTTTATTTGTAAGCATAATCTCTCTATGAATTGCATGTAACACAGCAGTAAGAATTTAAAGCTCTCTAAAGCTGTTTTTATCTACAACATTTTATAATATTGAGAAAGCATCAATTATGAGTTTTACTTGTATGGGGGTAGATGGCTCTGAGGGCCTTCCTCTTTTGAAGACCACACTGCTGATATGCCTCTGAGTACCCTGTTATAAACACAGTTACTTTCACTACTCTATATTCTCTGGGCCAGGGCTTTTCAAGTCCTATTCTAATAAATTCCCTTAGGGGCCAGCTTTGCTGAGGGGACTGCAAAGAACAGAGTTGGAATAGGGTCAGGGATAAGAAGTAGGCCCACCCCAACCCCTGCGACAACCTGAATAACTTCTCATTACTCTGTTTTGTAATACCAGAATTTTAAGGAAGCTTTCTTTGTAACAAGGGGTACTATGACTAAGAAAAAGGAAACAAGTATTTCAAACCCATGTCCCTAGGTTATACAGGTATGAAATAAATCAAAACTATGGATACATAGCAGCTTTGTCACCAAGAGCTTCCCACAGCCCTAATTTTCACTCCCCCCCTCCCCCCAACCCCCATCACAAATATTTACACAGTGTTCAAGCTTCTTCATGTAGAGGGCCAGGAGGAAGGAGCCAGCTGCTAGTTTGGAAGCTCTCTCTTGGACATAGTCATATTCCTGCAGGGTCATCTCACAGATGAAGCGAGACAAGGTCAGTGTCTTCATGCTGGCATGGACACACTAAAGACAGCAAGAAGACTGGTTCAACAATCAATTCAGAAAACCAAACCAGGTGGAAGACCTCCTTTCCAGTTATCCTATCCCCAGTCTAAATAGCTTTCTGCTTGAGCAATGTATCTCTCCTGCCATCATGACTCACCCTAAAGTTGTACACCTACAAAAGCACAGGGCCAGCAGTCTGTGTCTGCAAAAGCAGACTTTATACAGGGAAATTCTGAAATTGGCAGTGCAATTTGCTACCTTTAGGGTTTTAAATGAAATTATCAATTGTGGGTTCTCCCTCCTCCCCTTTCTGTGGGAGTCATCCTCCAAAGAGTCAGTCTCACAACTACAACTACGCACCTGGTTCTACCCTAGAAGATGTCCCACTCTCCCAAATAGCCCTTGCCCTTTTTTATTTGAAAAAAAACACAATAACCTATAACACAGAGATAAAAGTGCAGAACACACAATTGTAGGATATAATGAATAATTATAAAATGGCCTCCTCTGTAACCAAAACTCAAGAAAGAAAACATTGCTTACATTCCCCCCAAATGTCTCAGGTGTCCCTTTCTGATCAAATCCCCTGATTCTGTCCTCATCTCAAATCTTATAGGTACATTGTATTAATCTGCAACTTGCCCCCCACCCCAACTCCCTCATAAAGATTACCAAACTTTAAGCCAAGAAGTTGTCAGCCAGCCACTCTGCTTATAGAGTGGCTATAACCCAGAAGTGGAGGAACAAAGATGTTCCTCCTCCCTCTTACCCTAGCATATCTGCGCAGAAAATGATAGGCAATGGGAATGTTGATGTCAAAGTTGAGGGCTTGCAGGATACTGATTTCCATGGCAAGCAGTTCATCTCGCTTGTAAATATCATCACAGATGTACAGGAAGTCATCCACACAAGGAGGGCTGGGTTCCTGTGGGTAGAGAGAACAGTCAGTCACAACCAATCAGATATCCCTCTCCTCTCTGCTTATAGATGAAGGCAAAGGGGAAGAAGGGTGAAGGGTAGGAGGCAACCTATTCTTCATGTTAGTCTTTTAAAATTTTGCTTATTCTAATTTATTAGTTTTATGAAACCTTACGGTTTGGGAGCAGAGAAGTAGCAACTTTCATTAAGGAGTTCAAAGAACTTTAGAACTATGGATTGCTACAAAAATCACAAGCACAATGCTGGCTCCCTCACTCCTTTCCCAGTTCCTGTCTCCTGGCAGAATTCTTACTACCTCCTTCTCTTCTTGCTCCCTTCCCTCTCCTCCTTTCTCTCTCACTTCCCCTCCTTCTCTGGTCATGCCCCTTTCCTGCTTACCCTCAGAGATATCCTACACCTTAGCTTCATTTGGGCCCTGGCCAACAAAGAGGAAGGGAGAGCAGAGGAGGAAAAGAGGTGGAGTGGGAAAGGGAGGGACACTTCTTAGCAAATCTTAGAGCCAAGAACACCCATCCTCTGGTGGCCAGGACAGAGGGTCCCTACTAAGTGCTATGGAGGAGGGATATCTTTTCCTCACAGAATTGAAAAGTACAAAAGGACTTTTGTAAGGAGACCTGTGGAGATGGGATGATGAGAGAAGAAAGAAAGCAGCAGTGTGAGAACCTGAACAAGTCACTTCCACTCTCTGGGCCTCAGCTTCCTTTTCTGTAATACTATAGGATTGGTCCAATCTGTGATCTGCAAACAGGGAAGGGGAGGGAAGAGGAGGAAAGAGAGACAAAGAGAGCGAGAGCTGTAGGAAGAAGGCTGGGGTAGGCAGTAACCGCCTGGTAAGAAAAAGAGTTAAGAGTCTTTCTGCCTCCTCCTGATCTTCCTATCATCAAGTTCAGGCTCCAGAGGATAGGGGATAATAGGGAGCACCCAGGACAGTAGTTCTTCTAATCCTCAGCCCCTCTGTCCAGCTTCATCCAGTACATTCTCCTCACCTCTAGCTCCCCTTTCTGTGGCCTTCTTCCCTCGCTTCCCCTGACAAGGCCTTGGATTTCCTATGCCTGGTTCTCACTCATCAGGACAGTAGATCACTGCTTTCAGTCCCTATGCCTTGTGATGGTGCTTCTGGCACTGTAAAAATCCACCCCAAAAGGTCCTATCTTCCTTCTGGTGGTAATACACTTTTGTAAATAGGCCTCTCTCCTCTCAGCTCTCTGGTTTTGTTTTTCTGTGGAGGAACTCAAACAGAATCTGGTGGCTCTCAGAGCAACTCTGAAGGTCTGTGCCAGGAAGTACACCTTTTATTCCACTACCATCCCTTTTGCTTTTGGCCAAGGCCCAAACAGAAGCTAAGGTGTAAGGTATCTCTTGGGCTAAGCAGGAAAGGAGGGGGCATGACCAAAGTAGGAGGGGAAGAGATAGAGAAGGGAGGGAGCAGGTAGAAAGGGAAGTAATGAGGATTCTGATAGGAAGTAGGAACTGGGGAGGGAGTAAGGGAGCCAGCATAAAAACAAATCCATATTTCTAAAGTTCTTTGAATTTCTTAATAAAAGTTACTTCCTCTCTGCTGCCAAACCTTAAGATATTATATAATTAAGATGACTGCTAGCATAAATAAAGGAGAAATAACAGTTAACAAGTTAAACAAGTTCAGCTGGCACCCAGGAAAGGAGAAAGCATCCAGAGATGTAGCTAGGAGGATTACAGTC